TGAACTTCAGGGAAGCTCTCACGGGTGTAAGCTTATTACCAAACTCATCAAGTTGTATACATTTAATATGCACAGCTTTTTATATGTCAAACATACCTCAGTAAAGTGCTTTTTTAAAAAATCCTGCCAAATTGGTACAACCACTATGGAAGACAGTATGGAGTTTCCTCAAAAAGTTAAAAATTCCACTTCTGGGTATTTACTTGAAGAAAATGAAAACATTAATTCAAGGAGCTATATGCACCCCCACATTCACTGCAATATTATAACAATAGCCAAAACATGGAAATAACCTAAGTGTCCATCAACAGATGAATGGATAAAGAAAGTGTGATACAGATATACAATGGAATAATACTCAGCCTTTTATACAGTTCATGAGGTTCTCACAGCAAGTATACGGGGTGGTTTGCCATTCCCTCCTTCAGTCAGCTCTAAATATTCCCTGGAAGGACTGATGCTGAAGCTGAAGCTCCAGTATTCTGGTCATCTAATGTGAACAAACAACTCATTGAAAAAGTCCCTGATGCTGGGGAAGATTGAGAGCAGAAGAAGCAGAGGGCATCAGAGGATGAGATGGCTGGAGGCAACACTGATGCAATGAACATGAACCTGGGCAAACTCCTAGATGGTGAGGGACGGGAGGCCTGGCATGCTGCAGTCCATGGGGTCACAAAGAGTCAGACACAACTGGGCGACTGAAAAACAACAACGATAATACTCAGCCATAAAAAAGAATGAAATCTTGCCATTTGTAACAATATGGACAGACCTTGAGGACATTCCATTAAGTAAGTCAGACAAATACCATGTGATATCATTTAAATGTGGAATCCAAAAGCAAAAAATAACACACAAGAATGAGCTCACAGATACAAAGAAGAGATTGGTTTTTGTCAAAGGTAGGAATGGGGTGTGACTAAAATGGATGAAGGTGGTCAACAGATATAAATTTCCAGTTACAAAATCAGTAAGTCATGCACATGTAATGTATATATAGCATGGTGACTATAGTTAACAAGACAGTATTGCATATTTGAAAGTTGCTAAGAGAATAGATCCTAAAAGTTCTCATAACACGAAAAAAGAAATGTTTTAACCATGTACGGTGATGGATGTAAACTAGATTTATTGTGGGACTCACTTCACAATATGTACAAATATTGAATCATTACACTGTATGTATGAAACTAACATGTTATATGTCAATTACACCTTAGTTTTAAAAAAAAAATTCTTTCTCTTTTCCTTGATGCTCCCATGCTCACAGAAGCAGACCATTTCAGCAGGCAAGATTATTTAAAATAAGTAAATGAAATGAAATGGCTGAATTAAGTGAAGTCAAAGGATTGAGAAAGTATATAAAGCTCTAGATTGCCCTGTTTTACAGGAAATTTCAAGCTTCAGATCATTCAATTCAATCTTCTGAAGAAAATCAACTATGGAGTTAGATTTCCTGAATTAAAATCTAAACTCCATCATCTAAAATCTATATGACCTTAAGTTGCTAAAACTTTATCAAATGAGAATAACATCACCTCACATATGACTGTTGTGAGGGTCTGATGGCCAATTTCCACACAGCACTTAAAAACTAGGACAGTATGAATGGTCTGTTAAGTACTGTTGGTTTAATTATTGCTTTTGTTGTTAATCTCAACTCTCCCATTTTGAAAACTATTCCACTTGGCTGCTGAAAAACATTGTGCTATTGAAGAAAAGGGTCCGAAATATTGAATAACTCTTCTGTTGAAGCTTACTATATTGTCTAGTTAGAAACAGGCAATAGAACTTCTCCACTTAGGGGAGATTTTGTTTCCCCTTTGAGCTCTTCATTCAAATGCACATGTAATTACTTAAACAGGACGTTGAAGACAAACTTTAAATTTTATGTTGTTCAACTTAGGATGCATAGATATTCACATATCCATATGAACATAATGCTTTGGTTTTTAAACTCAAACTTTGATTTAATGTTACCAGATGTTAAATAAACCACTTTGACTTTAATTTAAGCAGAGGCTGCAAGACAATAAATATCACATTTCAAAGGGAGATGCAAGACCACCAGTTAGAACGCGCATGGGACTTGCTTAAGAACTGGGATTTAATGCTTTGCTGACTACCCATCCTCAGCCCAGAAAAGATTAGGAGTATTGGGGAAAAAAAGAGAGAGAGAGAGAGAGAGAGAGATTATAAGAGGACTTTTTGGAGAACTTCTGTATTCTGTGAGTGGCAGTCCTCCCCAAGATTAAGGGACTTGGGGTACAAGTCAGTGCATGCCACTGACCTCAAGTCTAAGGAAAGGATTTCAATGAGACCCCACTGAGAGCCTGCCATGCATCCTCTAGATCTGGGGGTACATCTTGGACTGGAGTCTGACTCTAGGATTTTCAAAGAGAGGAAGATGACAACCAGCTATTGTGACATCGAAGTAAAGATGACTCTCCGGGCTGCCGTATACAGGAGATGCAGGTTCAATCCCTGGGTTGGGAAGATCCCCTGGAGAAGGAAATGGCAAACCCATTCCAGTATTCTTGCCTGGAAAATCCCATGGACAGGGGAGTCTGGTGGGCTATAGTCCATGGGGTTGCAAAAGAGTCAGAGATGACTTAGCAACTAAACAACAAATGGCCGCCATGTGCTCCTAGGACAAAGGGTTCCTGGGTGTCTTCATATGAGAAGGCTAGTAATTCAGGACCCACCCAGATAGGGGAGGTGACCCCAACAAGGTGTGAACTGCTGAATTCCCAGGCTGAGAACCATACATGACACCAGCCAGTGGAGACACTTGAGTAGTGCGAAAACCCCTTCTGGTCTGTGTATGGGTCTGTGTGTGGGTCTCTGTGTGTGTGTGTGTGTGTGTGTGTGTGCGCGCGCGCGCGCACATGCACCGTACAAGAGAAAAGTTGTTTCACAAATCTCCCAAGTCTAGGGAACATGCATGCCAACAGCGAGACCTTCCCACCTCTCTCCTCCTCCATGCCATATCCAAATCTGGTACCAGAGAAGCACAGCTCTGTATGGGGCACACAAGGCAAGACCAGTACCATCCAGACCTGTAAGGCTCAAGCTGAAGGAAAAGTTAACCATTAAAAGAAAACCAGTGATTTATTAGCCTAACTTGACATAGTAATGACTAAACTGGCATGAATTTATTCTAAAGATAATCAGAGGATCTTTAGTTTTCTGGAAGTAACCAGAAAATCAAGAGGCTAGTCCTAAGGGCAGTCTTCCCAGGTGGCACTAGTGGTAAAGAACCTGCCTGCCAATGCAGGTGACACAAGAGACAGGTTCAATCCCTGGGTTGGGAAGATCCCCTGGAGGAGGGCATGGCAACTCACTCCAGTGTTCTTGCCTGGAGAATCCCACGGACAGAGGAACCTAGCGGGCCATAGTCCATGAAATCACAAAGGGTTAAACATTACTTGGCAGCTTGGCACACACGCACAGTCCTACAGGCAGAAGGGGGGAAAAGCATTAGGGGAGACGACTGAAGGCATTTTCAGAGCACATCATTAGCCTCACGTGCTCAGCATGACAATTAGGTTATTAGACAGTATCCCCACCAAGCTGGTTCTCACATAAGCTTTCCATACTTTGTAAGGCAGTGTGACACCTGGGGTGGCACTCCCTGAAGGGGGCTGGGAACACAGGGACTGTTGGGCACCCCCAATTCCATATTTGCCAGCCTCAGTCCCTTGCCGCTCCCAGGCTATACGCGGGGAGGGAGAGGAGGCCACAGTGGTGTCTCAATGCCACAGCTCCTAGCAAGCCCCCTTTCCAGTCCACTCCCAAATGTGTAGCCAAGAGATGAGCAGGGAAGTCTTCCCTGGTGGTTCACTGAATAAGAATCCGCCTTCCAAGGCAGGAAACAAGGGTTCAATCCCTGGTCCAGGAAGATTCCACGTGCCATGGAGCAACTAAGCCCATGTGCCGCAACTACTGAAACCCGAGCACCTAGAGCTCTGCTCTGCAACAAGAGAAGCCATTGCAATGAGAAGCCCATGCATTGCAATGAAGAGTAGCCTGCACTTGACACAACTAGAGGTCTGCTTGCAACAATGAAGACCAAGCCTAGCTGAATTTTTTTTAATTAATTTTTTAAAAAGAGCTGAGCAGGAAAAGTGATGATAGGAATGACTTTAGCCCATTTCAAGTAGAGTGGCCTAACAATATTGAAAAATGCCCCCAAGCAATTCCATCCAACAATTTTCCCTCCCGTCACCCATATTTTTTATAGGAAACAAAGGGCTCCTCTCTCAGAGATTCCCTGATAACTGTGACAGCCAGAGAAGCAGTCATCTCAGGCACTACCCAAGGTCTCCCCACACCCAGCCAAGTCCAGCTCAGGCTGTTCCTAGCAATGAGAGAGGGAAGACTGTCAAATTTAGAAATGACTCGGAAAAGTGCTATTTCTAAACCTAGAATAAAACTGGACACATTGGGAATTTGTATTTTGTTTGGCTTTGGAGAAGAAGATGAGTTTGAAGGTGCTGCAGACGCTGTGATCTTGTTTCCCTGGGGAGCCTCAGAGGCTGGGTAGGCAAACTTTCATGTCACACTGGTAGTGCATGGAGGCCATGAGGCTTTAAAGCACGTGGACCAGAAGGGCTGCTTTTCTTAGCTCTGACTCTGTTAGTGATAACCATTTCCTGCTCCCCTATGTAAGCTGAGACACTGGTAGGTGAGTTGGTTCACTGCCCTGGGAACAATTACCCTTCGTAGCCGGGAACTCTTCCTTACGATGCTGAAACAGAAAGTTCCATTTTTTGACTGTGTCGGCTTCACAGCGGGAATGGTTCCCATTCTTTTATCTGCCCTAAAATGACACACACAGACGCGCAGACACTCATACATGCCTAAAACGTCCTCACACGGGAGAAGGCATCTGACAAAACAGGATGAGCCGGAGAGAGCCGGGGAGCAGAGCCATGTGCTCTGTGGGGCTCTTCTTGGCTGGGAGGGTTTGGTCTGTGCTCGCAGGCCACATGCCGTAAATGAGGAAGTCCGCTGTGGAGTTGACAGGTAAGATACAGTAAGTGCCGATCAAAAGTCAACTCACAAAACCATGCTTTTGACAACACACTGTGAAGCTCAGTGGGAAACATACAAGTTGCCAGTTGGCCCGGCAACAAGGAGAAGCACATCCAGGAAGCTCAGCTCCCTCTCTCCTGCAGCAAGGGGACAGCCCCTTTTGATTTCAGGTTGGCAGGGCGAAAGGATGAGAGAGGCAGATAATGATTGCTTATGATCAAAAGATTGTGAGGAAGAAAATAAAACAGAGGAAGTCACTCAGTGCGTCGTGTTCCTTCTGGAGCCCCATCAGCACGCAGTGGATGTAAGAGACAGGATCCGGGACCAGAGAACATGAGAGCAGGAGACAGGAGTCTACCCACACAGACAGAAAGATGGGATGCGTGGAAATGTTTGTCTTTCATTTATTTTGAGCAAACATTGCCTTCCACGTAGCAGACTCATTCTGATCAGCAATTTCCACCTGGTGTTCTTCAAACCAGATGGAAGTGTAAATTATTTAAATACATGATCTTCCATTAGCTGTTGAGCTTAAGTGCCTCAAAAAAAATTTTTTTTTAATGCTTTCCAGGATTCTAGAGAGCATTTGCACTACGATAGATAAACATATTTTCAAGACACAACTTTAGTGACAGCAATTTTTAGATTTTAAAGTACAGTCAGCATTAGCATCTATAAGTAATTATAACTTCTGCAAAAGACTGTTTACACCATAAAAGTAAAATCGGAGCTAATGAGCTAATTAAGCTTTGTTTCCCCCTCCACATGACACTACTTCATAAAACCCAAACAGGTTCATCACAACACACAAAGGAGCGATCATGCTCCATCTTCAATTGCTTCTCTCATTCAAGGTTCAGATATGCTTTTTATAAATTTGTTTTTAAGTAAAAATTTGAATATAGGTTTTGAGTTTAATCAGTTTCCTGAGGGAAAAAGTTAGCATTCATGATAATACAGTGACCACTGTGCTCATGTACGTAAGCAGTGTGTGATGGGAAAAATTTGTGAGGATGTCCTAGTTAACTTCCTACACTGTGATCACTCACTTGATTATGGAATTATGAAGGGAATTCAAAATTCTTAGAATTTCAGAAAGTGAGGAGAATGTAGAGGTTGCTTGACCTTGTTAAAATACACTCTATGTCTGAAATCCCTCCTCTTTCATTCACTCTGTCAATCTCAGTCTTTATCCCATAACTTCTTTTACGTGGTTTTTATCCTACTTGCAGAGAAGGCAATGGCAACCCACTCCCCAGTACTGTTGCCTGGAAAATCCCATGGACGGAGGAGCCTGGTGAGCTGCAGTTCGTGGGGTCTCGAAGAGTCGGACACAACTGAGCAACTTCACTCTCACTTTTCACTTTCATACATTGAAAATGGCAACCCACTCCAGTGTTCCTGCCTGGAGAATCCCAGGGACGGAGGAGCCTGGTGGGTGATGTCCATGGGGTCGCACAGAGCCAGACACGACTGAAGCGACTTAGCAGCAGCAGCAGCAGCATCCTACCTGACTTCTCCACTTTCTCTTTGCTCCTCCCCCTCGAGGTGAAAACCACCCCCTTGGAGCTCCTGCCATCTCCTTTCCCATCAGTCATCCTCCTCCTCTAGCATAGTATCAGACCACCTCAGAGTGGACAGGGGCCGTGGAGGGCTCCCACTCCATCACTCCATCTGCGGTTTCTGTTTTGCACAAAATAGACTTACAGGACCTAGCCCTTCAGAATCCCTGCCTTTTCATCAAGTTAACTCCTGCTCTGGATGAGACTAATTCTTAAACACCCACTCTTTACATTGCTGAGGTTTGAAAGGCTTCTAAGTAACACACTCCTTTGCCCCAGTCAAGTTAAGAATTGGCACACAGAGCCAGGAAGATGACAATAAACTATCGCCTTTGTTCCTCATGGCTTCCCCCGGTGGCTCAGGTGGTAAGGAATCCGCCTGCAATGCGGGAGACTTGGATTCAATCCCTGGGTCAGGAAGATCCCTTGGAGAAGGAAATGGCAACCCACTCCAGTATTCTTGTCTGGAGAATCCCATGGACAGAGGAGCCTGGCAGGCTACAGTCCATAGGGTCACACAGAGTCGGATGCAACTTAGCATGCATGCATGCAATGATGCACAACAGAATTAAAATTATTCACTGTGTCAAAGGAAATACGGAGTTCTATAACCACGTCCTCCTTCCCCCAGCCCCAGACACTGGGTGGGCCAGTCCTGTGTAAGTTACTACAAATTCAAGAACAGGCAAGTACATGCATTCTCTACGTCAGAAAACTGGGACTCAGGTTGAAAAATGAGCAAGCTCTACTCCTTCTTCTCAAACTCACGTAGTAGATGGCTCACTCCTTTTCCCTCCACTAAGAGTGATTATAGGATTCAGAGAGAGGTGAGGAGCGTAGGATGTCATGTCACATGCAACAAGAGGAGTGGGGACAAGCATTTCCCCTGAACATGGGCTTTTATGAGGACAATTTAATATTTTAAACTTGCCAATTCTCTCTGTACATATAAATACACTCTCTAGAATTGGCATAAAGGAAGCAATCCTGATTGCCATTAGTTATCAAGTCTCCAAACAATCTCCATTAACCAGCACAAATTTATCATACAAGGCATCACACCAACCTTTTTGAGGGCAGCAAAGCATAAGACACTGTTTACACCCTCAGGATGTTTACAAATCCAGTTGGGGACATTAGACTTGAACAAGTAAGATTAAACAAGGATTTTAATAGCAACTCAAGACAACACCATGAAAGACAGGGACTTCCCTAGTGCTCCAGTGGTTAAGAATCTGCCTTCCAAGCAGGGGAGGCAGGTTTGATCCGTGGTCAGGGAGCTAAGACCCCACATGCCGTGGAGCAACTAAGCCCACACACCACAACCACAGAGCACACAACTCTGAAGCCCGAGGGCCACAACCAGAGAGAGGCCGCGGGCCGCAGACAGAGAGAGGCCGAGGGCCACAAGCAGAGAGAGGCCGAGGGCCACAAGCAGAGAGAGGCCGAGGGCCGCAGCCAGAGAGAGGCCGAGGGCCGCAGCCAGAGAGAGGCCGAGGGCCACAAGCAGAGAGAGGCCGAGGGCCACAAGCAGAGAGAGGCCGAGGGCCGCAGCCAGAGAGAGGCCGAGGGCCGCAGCCAGAGAGAGGCCGAGGGCCACAAGCAGAGAGAGGCCGAGGGCCGCAGCCAGAGAGAGGCCGAGGGCCACAAGCAGAGAGAGGCCGAGGGCCACAAGCAGAGAGAGGCCGAGGGCCGCAGCCAGAGAGAGGCCGAGGGCCACAGCCAGAGAGAGGCCGAGGGCCACAAGCAGAGAGAGGCCGAGGGCCACAAGCAGAGAGAGGCCGAGGGCCGCAGCCAGAGAGAGGCCGAGGGCCACAAGCAGAGAGAGGCCAAGGGCCACAAGCAGAGAGAGGCCGAGGGCCACAAGCAGAGAGAGGCCGAGGGCCACAAGCAGAGAGAGGCCGAGGGCCGCAGCCAGAGAGAGGCCGAGGGCCACAAGCAGAGAGAGGCCGAGGGCCACAAGCAGAGAGAGGCCGAGGGCCGCAGCCAGAGAGAGGCCGAGGGCCACAAGCAGAGAGAGGCCGAGGGCCACAAGCAGAGAGAGGCCGAGGGCCGCAGCCAGAGAGAGGCCGAGGGCCACAAGCAGAGAGAGGCCGAGGGCCACAAGCAGAGAGAGGCCGAGGGCCGCAGCCAGAGAGAGGCCGAGGGCCGCAGCCAGAGAGAGGCCGAGGGCCACAAGCAGAGAGAGGCCGAGGGCCGCAACTAGAGAGCTCATGTGCCGCAACTGAGACCCAATGCAGCCAAAAGTAAACAAATATTTTTTCAAAAAAGAAAGAAAGGCATCATAGATCAACACACAATTTCCACCTTAATTGAAAGTAAAATAAAGATCCAGAAGAGGAAGAAATCTTGACAAGTCAGAATGGTGGGAGGTATAACCTGGATCTTCAGAAATGGATGCTGCTGCTGCTGCTAAGTGGCTTCAGTCATGTTCAACTCTGTGCAACCTCATAGACGGCTGCCCACCAGGCTCCCCCGTCCCTGGGATTCTCCAGGCGAGAACACTGGAGTGGGCTGCCATTTCCTTCTCCAAGTCATGAAAGTGAAAGTGAAGTCGCTCAGTCATGTCCAACTCTTCACGACCACAGGGACTGCAGCCCACCAGGCTCCTCCGTCCATGGGATTTTCCAGGCAAGAGTACTGGAGTGGGTTGCCATTGCCTTCTCCTTCAGAGATGGATGAGGATTTGAAAAAAGAAGAGAGAAAAGAGAATAATACAAAAGTTTCAGGGGAAGCCAGAGGAAAAAATCATAGCCCACAGTGCAAAGTGTTTCATAAGGGAAAGACTGGAAGGTAATATAGGAAATGGACACCAGAAAGCTAGAGTTCTAATGCCGGGCAAGGTAAGCCACCTCCCTGAGTCTCAGTGACCCCTACCAGAAGATGGGGATTTCATGGCAATTAACTAGTGGTCCAGTGGTTAGGGCTTGGGGCTTTCATTGATGTGGTCCAGGTTCAATCCCTGGTCAGGGAACTAAGATCCCGCAAGCTACATGGCATGGCCAAAAAAAAAGATTGGCATTAAAAATAAATAAAGTTTTAAATTGGATATTTCAGTTACCATCTCAATTATTTTATAAGGATTAAGTAAGATAATATATATAAAGCAACAAGAACATAGTAAGCAACCAATAAATGTTTATTTTTGTTTTTATTATCATCACTATATTTATTACCAGCTAAACTGCCAGTGATTTTGGCAGCATTTGCTGATAAAATGTATTTAATATAGAATTGATTTGGCCTCTCTTGCTGCAGTAATCTGTTCAACTTCCCCTAAATATCACTCAAAAAAAACTTTTTATTATAAAAAATGTCAAATATTTATTTTAAAAATATATCATAATAAGCTTAGTATGTACCTACCACCTAGATTCAACAATTATCAACTCAAGGCCAATTTCAAAGTTTCATCTAAACTCTACCCAGACTCTTCTAAAGTTAATCTCAAACCTCATGTCATTCCACTCTTCCAATTTTTCAGTATGCATTCTTTTTAGAAAACATAACCACAATATCATTATCACATCTAAAAATATGATTAGATATATAAACAGTGCTCAAATTGCCCCAAATTCCTCATTTATAAACATTTTTAGTTTATTTGAGAAAGATTCCAAATACAATGCATACATTGCAATCACTTGAAATGTATCTTAAAACTTTTTAATCCAGAGGTCCCATCTCTATTTCTCTTCCTTTGGTGGGGGGAAGTGGGGGAGTTCCTTGAAACTTCCATGTTGAAGAAGCCATGCAATTTGTCCTATAGAGATTCCCACTGTTCGAGTTTCACTCTTACATCCCTGTGGTATTCTTTACCATATTTCTCTGTCCCCTGTATTCCCTCTAAGTTGAAAGGGCTTAATGCTTCCTCAGATTTTGGTTCCAGTTTTGGCAGTAACTCTCCATAGCATGGGCTTCCCTGGTGGCTCAGTGGCAAAGAATCCACCTGCCAATGCAGGAAATGCAAGTTCAATCCCTGAGTTGGGAATATTCCCTGGAGGAGGGCATGGCAACCCACTCCAGTATTCTTGCATGGAAATTCCATGGACAAAGGAACCTGGTGGGCTACAGTCCCATCGCAAGAGTAGGACACAAATGAGTGACTAAACAACTCCACAGGTGAAGCGAATTCTTATACCAGAGGATACTAGTGTCCTGAGTTTTTCTTTTCTGTTAGTAGTCATTTATGGTCATTACCAAGTTCCATTATTTCATTCATTCCAAAATAATAACTTTCTAATGTTTTCTATGCTTCTTCCCTTTTTCTTTTATTGGCTTGAATATTTCAGTAAACTTCTTCCCCTCATCAATTATTTTATTACTCTGAGGTCTGATTTGTGTAAGAGCAACAGAATAAATGCTTGATTTTCAAAATAATGAGTTGGTTCCCTAGCACTCTCCATAGGTGATCATTGAGGGTATTTTTGCTTTTGATTCATTATTAAATCATAGTTGAAATGTTTCAGTTCATAACAGTTATTACTGTTATTGATAACTAAATGGTCCAAATGTTTGCACTGGGGGCTTCTTCAAGTTGACCCTTGAGTCCTTTGGAAATACCCCTGGTACTTTTTGGTATCTGTGTTCTGTACTGTGATGAGGTGTTACAGGTTCATCATGAACAATTCCTGCCACAGAGTTGCCATTTTTTTCTGAGGAACCCTGGTTTCTTTGGGAAGGAAATGATGCTGGCAGATCAGGATCTTGGCATTAAGTTTGCTGATTACTACTGGGGGGGCCTTCATTTCCAACTTTTAAGTGAACAGAGCTAGAAACATGTTAGTAGCATTTTGTGGTTGTTTTAAGCAAGATATATCATGAATTTGAATTTATATTTCTGATTTAACTTTAGGACTACAAGGTTTTTAACCTGTTTATAACTTAGCCTCATGTTAAACATCTTTTGTACTTTCTCCTGTCCCCAAATCTCATTTCTCAATAATATAAACAGAACTACTCTCTTTATCTACACAATATACACTCAACTGTCTTAAAATAAAAATGCCAACACTACCACCTACCACATGATCACTGAAAACAGTTCAAGAATTTTTTTTCAATTCTATTTTCTTTTTTTTTCAATTCTATTTTCTTTAGGACATATTCCACTAGAGAAACAAGGTCAACGTGTGTTTTAAAGTCACTTGAAATAATTTCTTTGTATATAGTTAAGCCACATATTCAGTGTTCTGGTGATTCATTTATTTCATTATGTTTTTAATTTCTAGCACTTTTCATTTAACTTTTGTTCTATAATTATGTGAATATTTACATGGTTCCACAATCAAATCTATAAAACAATGTCTATTCAGAGAAATACTGTTTCTACTCTTGTCCCCTATATTATTGGGTTGGCCAGAAAGTTCATTCAGGTTTTTCCATAAACATCTTATGGAAATACCCAAAAGAACTTTTTGGCCAACTCAATACAAGCACACATAAAAATACACACTTTTATACTCTCTGTTGTGGGTTGAATTGTGTCCCTAACAAAGAGAAGTTAAATTCTGATTTCAGGTACCTGAAAATGTGACCTTATGTGGACACAGGGTCTTTGCTGTTGTTGTTGTTCAGTCTAGTTGTATCTGATTCTTTGCAACCCCATGGACTGCAGCACACCAGGCTTCCCTATCCTTCACCATCTCCCAGAGTTTGCTCAAACTCATGTCCATTGACTCAATGAAGCCATGCAACCATCTCCTCCTCAGTCACCCCTCCTTCCCTCAATCTTTCCCAGCATCAGGGTCTTCTCCAATGAATGGGCTCTTCACAACAGTTGGCCAAAGTACTGAAGCTTTAGCTTCAGCATCAGTCCTTCCAGTGAATATTCAGGGTTGATTTCCTTCAGGATTGACTGGTTTGATCTCCTTGTTGTCCAAGGGACTGTCAAGAGTCTTCACCAGCACCACAGTTTGAAAGCATCAATTTTTCAGTGTTCTGTCTTTTCTATTGTCCAGCTCTCACATCTGTATATGACTACTAGAAAAACCATAGCTTTGACTATACAGGCCTCTGTCGGCCTTTGCAAATGTAATCAACTTTGCAAATGTAATCAATTTAAAAACAAGATCATGCTGGATTAGGGTGGATTCTAATGCAGTAGCCAATATCTTTAAAACAGAAAGGAGAGGGAGCTTTGGACAAAAGAGATAGACACACACCAGAGAAGACAGCCGTGTGGACATGGAAACAGAAACCGGAGTGAAGAACTTCCCTGGTGGTCCAGTGGCTAAGACTCCACGCTTCCAATGCAGGGGGCCTGGATTCAATCCCTAGTTAGGGAACTAGATCCCACAAGCCACAACTGAAGACCCCACATGTTACCACTAAAAAATCCCACATGTGCGTGTGTGCATGCTCCAGCCTTCAGTTGTGTCCAGCTCTTTGCAATCCTATGGACTGTAGCCTGCTATTCTCTGCAACACAACCAAGTGCGTGTGTGCATGTTCAGTTGCTCAGTTCTTCTGTCCATGAGACTTTCTAGGCAAGAACACTGGAGTGGGTTGTCTTCCTTTTCCAGGGGATTGAACCGACCCAGATTGAATTGGAGTCTCCTGCATTGACAAGTGGATTCTTTTACCACTTAGCAACTAGGAAGCCCAACACAGCCAAGAGCTGTGGATGATGGACTTTGAACCAGAAGCCCTAGACAGAGAAAACTTCTGAGACAGGCCCAGGAGTGCAACACATCAGGGGCGGGATCTAAATGACAATCCCAAGCTTCTCTCTCCCAGGCCTGTGTGGAGTCCACTTTGGCTGTTCCTTTCTCTGCACAACTGGGATTCTTGCTGAATAATTGAAGCCCCAGCTCTGTCCATATCAGGAATATTACTGTTTGATTTTGTGGTCCCAGAGGGAAAGCTGCGAACAGCTGATGCCTCCGCTGGTACTGAAACTGCCACAGAAAGCAGGAATTTGTTTTCCTAGTTTTCTGTTGGAAAAATCTCCAGGCATTGCACTGGGAAGTGGGGGATTCTTAAAAGTTTTTTTAGAAAGTGCAAGAGTATATGGGGGGGGAGGGCCAGAGGTTAGCGAGTTGCTTTTTTTCTGCAAGGCAAAAGTGCATCTGTGCAATTAAAAAAAAATTAATTATAAATGAAATAACCCAGCCCCTAAGGAACTGAGATAGGCAAATAAGTTCCTGCTAAGGAAAAGATGTGGATTTTAATATGCACACATAACAGCATGTGAGTGTGTGTATGT